CAATCTGGCGCGCATTCCTTGCCCCATCATACTCCTTGGGCTCTGGCGCCTTCTTCTTCCTTGGCTTCACCACGACCTCGCGCGCCTGGGAGAACTCCTTCTTGCACTCGGCAATCTCCACGCGCAAGTCGTCTACCCGATCATGCAAGTCCCTTTCCTTCTCTCGTGCCCTGTTGGAGATGCCGTCAATCAGCTTGTAGCGCTCTGCCATCATTCTCTCGAGCCTGTTGAACTTGGTTTCTATATAGACCAAGTGTGTGGCAAGCTTCTCCTCCAAGCTCTGCTCTAAGACATGGACTTGGTGGTCTCCTCCGCTAGCCATGTCTACTCAAAGCTTCCTTGATGAACCTGTCTCTAATACCAACTGTCACGGGCTTAGAGTTTCAGCACTACTCTAGCTACTCCCGTGCGGCACCAAGACGTTGCTTTTACTCTCGCAAATACTTGGTCAGCCTAACTCCTGTGCCCACCTTCACCAACGCACTCTCCTCGTGCCCTCGCCCTCTCCTCACTTGGCTTGCACACACACACACACACTAAGGCACTTAAGTTGGCAAGGAAAGAACGCTTCTATTACTTCAAAGAATGCTTTGTACAAGGCTAGCTCTCAAACTCTCTATAAGGCTCTCAAGACTCACTCTAGGACTTGTTGGCTACAAAATGAAGTCCCACTCCTATTTATAGGCATCCCCATCCCTAATGGACGGTTAGGATGCATTCTAACCGATGGTGGAGATCGATTCTCTAGAATCTTCTCCCACCTTCTTTACACTTCCATATATATCTGCAAGTATCTACAACATTCTAGAACTCTCCATATTACTCCACACAATTCTGGAGGACTCTAGAATATACTACACATATCTAGAATCTTCCACACAACTCTAAACTACTCCGGAAGACTCTAGAAACTCCCATGCAATGCAGTCGCCATGCAGCGTCTAATTCAGCGTCTGCGCGTCGCCTGCGTGGCATAACCTCCATAGGCGGGGCGTGACACAAAGCTAACAATTTGAATCCCCAACTCTGATCACCTGGCGATACAGAACTTCCAAAAAACGAGTAACCTCCTTAATCTCCCAGTCTTGAAATTGCCTCATAAAATGAACATCCCAAGTCAGTCTCTCGTTATCAAGGTGATAACAGTTAAGCACCATGCCTGTCTGTGAGAAGCAATCCTGTAGAGCCGTGGGAAAGTGAGAGCAAGAGGAAGCTCCCCACACCAAAGATCCTCCCAAAATCTGATCCTCCTACCATCCTTGATCCGAAAATGAACATGCTTACAAAAATCATCCCACCCCCTCCGAATGAAAGTCCAAACCCCCACCCCCCTAGGACCACGCATCTCAAGAGAGCACCACCCACCACTGCTCTCCCCAAACTTGCTTGCGATAACTCTCCTCCAAAGCCAATGCCTCTCAATCCCAAACCTCCAGAGCCATTTTCCAAGGAGAGCCTTATTGAAAGGCAACAACCTCCTTAACCCTAAGCCTCCACTTCGAATCGGACGGCACACGTACTCCCAGCGAAGCAGATGATACTTGAACTCCCCTCCCCTCCCCTCCCCCCCACAAAAGAAAGTTACCCTGTAATCTCTCAATTCTCTCAGCCACTGAAGAAGGAATCTGAAAGAGAGAGATGAAATAAGTGGGGAGGCTAGAAAGGGTGCTCTCATCAGAGTAACCCTTTGAGAGGTATTGCTTTTTCCAACCCGCCGACCTCCTCTCGAATCTAACCACAATCGGATCCTAGCTCCCCACACATCTCGAAGGGGCTCCTAAAGGCAACCCTAAGTAAGAAATGGAAAAAGAGCCAGTGCGACAACCAAGAATCTGAGCAAACATCTCGATCTCAGGAACATCCCCAGCAAGCACAAGAACGCTCTTACGAACATTCACCTTAAGACCAGAGACAACTTGGAACCAAATCAAAACGCATCTCAAATATCTCAACTGGGACGCATCAGCATCACAAAGCACTAAAGTATCATCCGCAAACATCAAGTGGGAAATCTCCAGTTGACTAGCAACATCCCTGCCCACCCGAAAACCTCTCAAAAAACCCAACTCCACAGCCCTCTTTGGCAATCTGTTAAGAGCCTCCATCACAAAAGGAACAAGAATGAAGAAAGCGGATCCCCTTGTCTCAGGCCCCTTGAACAAGAGAAAAAACCCGTTGGAGCTCCATTCACAGTGATAGAGAACCAAGCACTAGAAATGCAGAAAAGAATCCACTAACGCCCGCCAAACCCCATCCTCTCCAATAAGTAGAGGAGGAAGCTTCAGCTCACATGATCATACGCCTTCTCAATATCCAGCTTACATAAAACACCCGGAACCCCACAACTTAAACGGGAGTCCACACATTCACTAGCAATAAGAACTGAATCCAAAATCTGGCGACCTCCCACAAAGGCATTCTGAGAATCAGAAATGACGCCATCCATAACCTTCCTCAACCTAGAGGCCAAGACTTTTGCAATCAATTTATAAAAACATCCCACCAAACTGATTGGGTGAAAATCCCTAACATCCATCGCCTCTCCCTTCTTCGGAATAAGAGCAAGAAAAGTGGCATTCAAGCTCTTCTCAAAAGAACCCTGAACATGGAAGGCGTGAAAAGAGCCCATCACCTCCTCACGGACCACCTCCCAGCACTCCAAAAGGAATCTCATAGAAAAACCATTTGGACTAGGGGCTTTTTCCTCATTACAACTCTTCAAAGCAGACAAAACTTCCTCTTCCGTAAATGGCTCTTCCAAAGCAGAGCACTCCTCACTCGAAATAGAGTCAAAATGAAGCCCAGCAAGCAAAGGTTGCCAACCAGCTGGTTTAGTGAACAACTTCGAAAAGTAATCAGTAAAACCCTTAAAAATCTCCTCCTCCTTACAAAACATCTCCCCCATCCACCCGAATCCTCTCAATGTGATTGCCCCTTCTGTGAGCATTGGCAAGTCTATGAAAAAATTTAGTATTATTGTCACCTTCCTGGAGCCACAAAGCTCCAGACTTCTATCTCCACGAAAATATTTAGTAGTATTCTATGACAAAAATGTTTTATGTCGACATAAGTGGATCCTTGGTTTCAAAGGGGAAACTACTCCTGCAATTAACAAAGAGAAGTTGCTGTTCTTTCGAAAGTATGGTTCTCAATAAACTAGTGCCAGACATTCACCTTATTCTACAAAGGTCCAACTATATCCTCCAAGCTATTTTGCATAAACATGAATATAGAACCAAGACGTGGCACTGTACGGAGCCAGCAATGTTGTCAGTTGTCACAAGATTAGGCCACGGATCTAGAGGTATACAACAAAATACACTCCCTCTGTCCAAATGTTTTGGTACCTTTTTCCTTTTTTCTGATGTTCCTTGATAGTTTTCTTTGTCCCATAATTATTGTCTACTCTGAAAAGTCAATACATTGAATTTTATGACTTTACTAAGTTACCCTTCGGATGGAAGTAGGGGTACTTTTGAAAAATTGTGCGCTGACCCGTAATGCAGTAACTGAATTTACCTCCCTCTGTTAGTGAAATGTAAATACATTGGTTTGGGCCTCTGTTAGTGAAATGTAAATGCATTGGTTCGGGTGAAAGTAGGTGTACTTTTGAAAAATTGTGCGTTGAGCGTAATGCGGTAACTGAATTTACCTTAAAAAGTTGGTTTATTTTTCTTCCCCACACCAAACACACACACACACACCCCCCCCCCCCCCCCCCCCCCCCCCCCCCCCCCCCAGCCCAAAAAAAGGGGACAAATGGAGTTCAGTTCTGCAGTGTGATATGCATATGTATGTATATTATGTGTATATATACATGCGATTGTTACCTTAAAAAGTTGGTTTATTTTCCTTCCCCCCCCCCCACACCCACCTCTCAAATGGCCAAAAATTTGGGACATATCAGTTCTGCACATGTGATATGCATATGTGTGTATATTGTATGTATATACACGCAATTTTTAAAAACAGGATATGGGGATTCAGTGACACAACGTGCATGATGTACATGTAAAGTTTTGTGTCTATGATTATGTGTATGTCTATGCACACATGCATACTTAATTATGATGAATCCTCCTCTCTTTGTTTATTATCTCCTTTTCTTCACAAATAAATTCCGCATTGTAACTGCTTTCTTTTCTGAAAAAGGGTCATTCTTTCACTTTCTTTTATAGTCTCACTGGATGTATTATCACAATTGTGCTCTGTGTTGGTAAATGTTCCATCATGCAATGCCTGCAGCATGTCGGATTTATGTCTTGCTTCATCCTACTAGTTTTGTTGTTACCTTGGATGAGAAGAAATTACGTTCTCGTTTTGAATGTGTATTATTTGTTGGTGCATGTTTAAGAGTGCTTAAAGAAGTAAGCGTTGGAGTCCACCACATGGCTCTTTTGTACAAGTCCATGCGGTTTAATTCTAAATGGAAGTGTGTCACTTTCAGCATCTTCACTGATATACAACTTCGTTTCTATATTTTACCTACCATTTGATCACCTCACAGTGTGTTTCCTAGTACAATGTTGTCAAGGTTATGCCCGTCAGCCATTTTATTTAAAAACACGATGCAGCTAATATGCTATGAAACCCATTTTTTGAATTTTCAGATTTAAAAAAAAAAAAAATAGGTTATGCTATCAGCTCTCGGATTTCCAAGTTGTTTATTATGGCATATAAACAGACTTAATATGTTGGTTGATCACTGTAATTGCATATTGCGCTTTCTGGTTGTATTACTTTGAAGAAGATTTGATGAAAAATTTGCAAAGATTGCAACTGAAAAGGGTGGGCCTTCCATTTGTCCCAGACATTCTTTTTTGACTTTCAAGCGTGCTTCACTATCTGTTGGTTTAACTCTTCTCTATGCTAAAAATCTGTTGAGATATGGAGTTTATATATTTTGTGCTTTCATTTTTCTTTGTTGATCTGACTTACTATCTGTTCATCATTTACTCGATAATCGACAGTTATGCTAAAAGTACAATTATGATTCTCAGGATGCAAAGGAGCATCTTTCTGCGCTGGCTGACAAGCTTGGTCCGTCCCTGACTGATATAGATGTATGGAAATCCCAATCATGTATTCTAGCTCCGTAGTAATTGATAATCTTTTAAGAAGGCTACTCAAGACTCAAGATGCTGTTGGCCTATAGTTAGTGTTGTGTATGAGGGTGTGCTGGTGGCATATTAGTATCTTTTTTTTTCCTAGTTGGGTACTCACACACACATGCCTCCACGGAGGCTGGAACCCCTGACCTCTCTTTGAGAAGTAGGGGCTTGGTACCGCTAGGCCACTGACCTGTTGGTGTAGTATCTAAGCATTATGTTATTTTCTTTTTTAATACTAATGGTCTTGTTCGACATTCAGCTGTCAGTGAAATCACCGCAAACATCTGTTGATGCTGCTGAACAAGGTGATGTATGCCAGGAAAAATTATTTCATGCAGATTTTGATATTCAGTTGGTATCTTTATTTATTTATCTGATTACTTTGTTTTAGCTTTAAAATTTTGAGTAGGACTTGGTGGTTTTTAGTATATTTGCTATACTATATTTGTATCTAGAAGCACAAGCAGCATTTTTAAAAAAAATGAAGTATATTACTTCCAATTGTTTACTTTTGAAGGATGAGACAGTGTATCCGCTGTCAGCACCATTGTTTCTCACTTCTGTGGTTTTTAACACTAATTTTGTGGAAGAAGCTAAATCTTTAGAGGAACTAGTTCTCTGGTTACATTGCTGTATTGATGTTGAGTATATGATGTTTGGGTTGAAAATAGAATGGGATTAAGTTCCACCAGAGACAACAACCACCGCCACCAAGCCTTTTCCCAATCTTGTGGTCGGCTACATGAATCCCATGTTTCAATTCTATTTAAGGCCATTTGCTTTAGTCAAAAGTTCCATCAGAGAGCAATTAAATTGGAATGATACAGAGACCAGGATTAAAATTAAAGATTCTCTTTATAAGTTTGTTAACTAATTTCAATTGAGTGGAAATCTCTTACTGGTTTCATATTTCATATATTCACTATAGACACCCTTTCGAAGAATACCTTTAGAAGATTACTACTTGATTGACTACAACAATTTTTTATATCATTATAATGCCGTCAAAACTGAATCCGTGCTAATGTTGAAAAGATTGGACTTCTTTTAAGAAAGTATATGTATATGCGGAAGCATTAGGGTTCAAGAAATATATTTGATAGTGCATTTACTAACGTGTTGCATATGAGAACAATAAGGGAGAGTGTGCAAACTAATGCTAAGCTGATGAACACCACCCAAAAAGTCCCTGCTCATTTTATTAACACATTTCTTAGCTTGCCAACGTTCCGTACCTTAATAATACTGGTCTAGTAACACTTCTATAAAAATTGGCTTTCAATTTTAGAGTTCAATGTTTATCATATGACATGCTAGAAGCATTCATTCATTTAACCCATCCCGTTTTAGTTTTATGAGCAATTTCATCTCCAATCTTCCTCTCTTTGTGAATACAAATAGCGCATCAGTTTCATAACTGTTTCTTTTTTGGTATCTCTTGACAATTGGTGTACATCATATCCCCACTTGTATTTCTAGTTTAACTGAAGTTACATTATTTTAGCATTAGTTTCATTTATTTTAAACCTTCTCGATTTTAAAGTTTCACTCCATACCTCTAATATCATCAACAAATAACATCCACTACGGAACTTCATACTATGCATGTTTTGTCAGATTAGCCATAATTAATGCAAAAGATGAGGGCCTAATGTTAATTCAAAATGTAAGCCTACATGAATTGGAAGATCAATTGTAAGCACTGTTGTTTAACTGAAGAGATAACCACACCTTGACGGAGCAGCAAAATGGTGAAAAATGTTTTATATACACGATTCTAAATAGTTGGGACAGGGCTTTGTTCGGTTGGGTTGCATCACACAAAGTGCAGCTGTTAAATAGAAATAGAGTAATTATAGTAATTCCGATTGGTGTAAACTGCATATGAGCCTAAAATCTTTAATCTGATGATCTTCATCAAGCTGTTTTAGTAGCAAGAAGCTTACCAGATCATGAGATGTCCCTGCCGTGTATGACTTAAGAATTTTTTTAAGAATTTTTTTCCATATATGTATCCTATTGGGGATCACTGGTCCAAATAGAATAGATTGAGGGCACCCTTGTTGCAAGCCCTTTTAAAACTCAGAAATACCCGTGGGGCCTTTTTTCCCACTTTTTTTCAGTAAGGTAAATGTACCCTTCAGATTTATATTTATATGTACTTATGTATTTTGTGTTGATGTACTTCATTTTGTAGGGCAAATTTATTATTGAACCTGGTATCCAAATAACTGCTTTCACAATTATGAGATGAAACTTTTAGTCTACCTCACAATTGTACTTTATCACCTTTGTCTACTCAAATGTTCTGATTTCGTGTTGGATGGGGTTTTCTGCCACTAGATTATGATGAGAAAGCTGAAGATGCAGTTGATTATGAAGATATCGATGAGCAGTATGAGGGACCAGAGTGTCAAGCTGCTACTGAGGAGGACTATTTGTTGCCAAAAAAGGTTTATTATTCCACTGAAGTTGCTGTGGCTACCATGGAGCTTACAGCTTCTGTTTTTGATGATGAAAATTATGACGATGATGATGAAGAATTTGATAAAGAACGTGAGTTGGTGGATAAAAACGCGGAAGTTGGAAATATTTCTTCATCAGGTTTACTAAGGAATCCATATAAAGTATCTGTTAGACTGTTTTTTATTAATTGACTGTATTTCCTTTTGTTGTATGGTTCATCAGATAATTTAATCAAATCTGGATGTTTATTGTCCTCTTTTTTGATTTAACATCTATACACTTGAAGTTGGTTTAACCGGCTTAATGATTATTTGTGCGCTCTATTTTGAATCCCAATTGCCTAAACTGCAACCGAGTATATCAGATTTAGGAATTTAGGTACTCAATTGAGGGGGGCCTATTTCATTTTTATAAATAAAAGAATGTGGTCTATCTTATGCATGTAATGTTTATATGAATATTTTAGTTGAGATTCCTTCACATGTATATATATATATATATTTCACTAAATAAATTCCTTCATATATTCCGAAAGGGTTGTTGTTAGCATGGGTTTTTGGCCTGTTTGAAATGGCTGTTTTAAACTCATACCGGGCCCTTTTTTCATTCACAGTTCGAGGCTTTTTAATGATTTCTTTTGAACCTGTTTGGTGGATTCCGTTTGAATATCTAAAACAGGAAAGAAATGGCATTAGTGCCCAAAAAGATCCTGAATAAAATATAATTCGAGATTATATTTGTCAGAGATCCTGAACAGTAAAATAACGATACTTTTGATACTATTTATTTATTCATTCAATTTTTTTTTAAAGGAATCCAAATATTTTCTCCACCGAACGGTTTAATCCTCCATGGAAGGAATAGGTGCAGAAGGGGTATTGCTCATGTTACTTTCTAGATTTTTATATATAGTCAAGAAAGTTAAAGCAAATCTCAATTATTTAACAAGGAAAACTAATCTCACTTATTTCAATGCATTGTTATATTTTTAATTCTCTACTTTTTTCTTTATCGTTCTTTGCATAATGTTGAGTCAAATCTTAAATGGAAGTGAATCAATTTCTGATAGATCAATATAATTGAGTGTAGTTATAGTCATGTAGTCAACAGTAGTTTTATTTACATGTTGTGTTATTAAGAATAATTATTCATGTAATACATTAACTGTCATGTTTTCTTTGGAACTAGAACATTCATAAATCTAATCGTGAAACTGGTTTACTAGCTTTCCATTTTAATATTTGACTTGTTTCTTTTGTTTTCAGGTGAGCTGAGTGATATTCTTACTAAAATTTCTGATGGGGAAAAGTTTTCCGAGGATGATCTACCTATTGGCTCTTTTGAAAGTGAAAATTTGGCTGTTGATATGGCGGATTTTCAGGTGATCTGCATGAAAACACTTTATTTTTTATATTTTACTTTGGTTTTACTTGGAGATTGTTTTTGCTCTTGGATTCTTTTTCCTTTTGCTTTTTCCCCAACTCTTTAGGTGCTTCTGCCTTTCATTCATAGTAATTTAGATCTCTGCAAATATGTGAGTACCTTCTATTAGGCTTTTGCTTAATGTTGGTTGTAGTGGAATATCTTAGCTACTGTTATGACGCTGAATCCTGCTGCAGTTGTTTTTATCAACATGTGGCATGGTTTAGTTAGTGATTAGCTTGCAGAACTTATAAGGAATTAGAAATAATTGTTTTCATCAAGATTATGTCTAGGTGAGTGTGAGGAGTGTATTTACTTATGTCTCATGAAATGTGCTTATTCTCTGAATCTTTTCATGGTGCATACCTTTTCTTGGTATAACTCCAAATTTTGGTTTAAATAATAAAAAAAAAAAAAATCAAATTTCTTATGCTTCTAGAGAATTATCATCTTTATGTATGCCTATAATCCTGTAGATGTGATGTAATCAGTGCCACATAATATGTTGACCTAACCATTAATTACGACATATATAATGTATGTATATATGTGGCCAGTGTCATTTATCAACCAATTTTTCTTGGTTCATGATATCCATTTATTTCCTTGTTTAAGAAAGATAATCCTTGGAGTTGATTTTTTTCTGCAGTCAAGAATGCCAACATGTTTTTTATTCAGCTCTTTTTGTTCCTGTTACTATAGGCTGAAAGTCTGCAGTAGAAAATTAACTGCACTACTATCTCCCAATGTTATAACATATCATCTCAATCTTTCACCGCTTTCAAATGCATCATTTTATGCTGCCTTCTAGTTTGCTCTATCGGCCTCATTATTTATTCATTTTCATTTACGCTCTGCGGTTATCTTATGTGATTTATCAGGAGGAGCCTCTTGATGATAAAAATTCAACACCACTGCCTGTTCTGTGTATAGAAGATGGTAAGGTCATATTACGGTTTTCTGATGTTTTTGGTATTCATGAACCGTCAAAGAAAGGGGAGAAGAAGGACCGTAGGTATTCAATTCCTAGAGGTATGTAGTCGCAATGGCACACGAGGACTTTTTTCCTGACTTAGATTTTCCTCCTCTAGCAATGAAATGATGAAAGTTCAACTTTGAATTTTATGCATTTTCTGAATTTATGCCCTTTCGTAGAACTTTTAGAGTTGAATTTTTGGAAAACCTTTAGAGTTGCATTTTCTGAATCTTTTGGAGATGCATTTTCTGTCTAAAGCTTTCCATAGCCGTAAGTGCAATTCTGCACTTCTGGATGTTCCAGTAATTCTTTTTTATTCTTGCAGAGAAATATAAATCCATGGATATTTATGATAATGTTGAAGAGGACGATGAAGATTTTTTGAAGGGCACTTGCCAAGGTTTTTCTTTTATGAGACAGGCACATGTATCTCAAGATGATATTTCAGCACTAGTGGACGGCGAATTAGAATCAAGGATATTTGGGGTTGTTCCAGGGGCTTCTGCTATTGATCTACAAGATGATGAGCAAAGGAAAGATTCTTGTCTTAGTGCGGAGCCAATGAGACAGGATATAATGTCAGATGGGTCTGTAGAGTGGAGCTCAGCTTTGTGTCCAAAATTTTACCCTCTTGATCAGCAAGATTGGGAAGACAATATTATTTGGGACAACTCTCCTGCATTAAGTTACAATGCTGCCGATGGTTGTGAGATCTCTGGACCTGACTCCGAGGCTTTGGTTAATGCAGAAACAGAATTGGAGGGTGGGCTGCAAAATTTTCAGCCAGAGCTCCAGATTGAACCTGATGAGAAAGATCATGGTTTTTTTCTTCATAACTGTCCTGTTCTAGTGGAGCCCTTTGGTTCAAGAACACATTCAGGACTGAATAATCTTCCATTCTTGGAAAACAGATTTCATCCCCAACTTTTGAGGTTGGAGTCACGGTTGGAAGTGGATCATCCAAATCATTCTGATGTTAGAAAGGATTATGGTGGTGAAGAGATCCGCCAAAGTGATGTCATAAGACGTCGTAGCAAACTTACATTGCAAAACAGAGACTTATTGGAAGGATCTTGGTTGGACAAAATAATTTGGGAACCACATCAATCTATTGGAAAGCCAAAGCTAATACTCGATCTTCAAGATGAACAGATGCTTTTTGAAATTTTAGATGACAAGGACGGTAAAAATCTTCGGCTTCATGCAGGGGCTATGATCATAACTCGCTCTATGAAGTCTAGTGGTGGGGATTCTTTGGAGCAGCATGGTCACGGAGGTCCATATGGTGTGCAATTCAATATTTCTAATGACGAATTCTATTCAAACAGGAAAATTTGTCAGCAGCTGAAGTCACATTCTAAAAAACGCGCTGCTCACGGTGTCGAAATCTTGCATTCAATACCTGCAGTTAAGCTGCAGACAATGAAACCGAAGTTAAGCAAGTAAGAATCAGCATTATATCTCATTAGTTGTTGCATTCTTTTTACTTACATTAGTTGGAGGAGATCAATTCAATCTGTTCTTCTACGGATCACATACCTTATCTTGTTTTGTGGTAAATGATCATTTGGAACAACTTCAATTCGCATTATCTTTCATTTAAGTGAATAGTGAGATTATGTGCAATGCTATACAGGTATTGTGATTGCCTTATATGAGTGGGAACTTGCAGTCATGAATAATTTGTAGTGTAGCGGATGGGGCTTGCCCATTTATCCCAAAAGCTCAAATTGTTGGATAGTGTTGCATACCCACCTATTTATACACACTTCATCTCCCATCCAAATCCGATGTGGGACAAGTCTCACTTGTAACATTCTCCCCCACCCAAACCCGCGCAACGCCCTCGTTGCGATCGAGCCACCCTACCTACTCGGGCCAAACCGGACGCCCTCCGAGCCGGGCGCTTAGCGTGACACCGGATTAAGAATTGGGTTTGGCTTTGATACAACCTATAACGGGTGGGCGTTTGCCCATTTATCCAAAAGCTCAAGCTGTTGGGTAGTCCTGCATACCCACTCATTTATACACACTATAACCCCCATCCAAATCCAATGTGGGACAAATCTCACTTGTAACAACTAGCAATTAGCATTGTAGCATGTGTTCATTGCCCTTCTTTTTCATAAGTTAGGTGTTGTAGTTTCTTCTTTTTTTCTCATGTGATTTCCACCATTCAGTGTTGTGTAGTTAGGGTTGTAAGTGAACCATGTCATTCGCGAACAGCTCGAGCCCGGCTCGGTAAAAGCTCAGATAGCGTTCGTTTATTTGATAAATGAACCAAGCTCAAACAAGATTTTCAAGCTCGTTTTGTAAACGAGCCAAGCTCAAACAACCTTGAGCTCGGCCCGTTTGTTCGTGAACATGATTGTGAACAAGTTCGTGAACATACACAATTATATATATATATTATATACATGAAAGAGAGAACCTGTTTAATTTATCAAAAAAACTCCCTCTTGCTCTCGCGTTCCCACGGCTCTACAGGATTGCTTCTCATCGACAGGCCATGGTTGTCGACTGTTATCATCTTGATAACGGGAGACTGTCTTGGGATGTTCGTTTCAGGAGGCATTTTCAGGATTGGGAGATCGAGGATGTTTCTTGTTTTCTGGAGTTGTTGTATAGCCAGGTGTTTTCTATTGGGGGATCAGATTGGTGGTTTTGGATTCCTACCACGCATGGCCGTTTTGAGGTTAGGTCCTTTTTCAGATGCCTTTCGTTTGGTCATGGAGATCCCTTCGCTTGGAAGTCTATTTGGCGGTCCAAGGCTCCCCGCAAGGTTGCCTTTTTTGCTTGGACCTCTGTTCTAGGTAAGATTTTAACCCAGGATAATCTGAGGAGGAGGAATCAGGTGGTGGTCAATCACTGTTACATGTGCTTGTGTCATGAAGAGTCTGTTGATCACCTCCTTTTACATTGCAGCATGGCCAGAGATTGTTGGGATTTGATGCTTCGTTTATTTGGGGTTCATTGGGCTATGCCTTTCTCCTCTAAAGGGTTGATTGAGGCTTGGAGAGGTGTCTCTGTTGGGGCTGGCATTAGGGATGCTTGGAGGGCTACGCCGCTCTGTATCTGGTGGTGTATTTGGCTTGAGAGAAATATGAGATATTTTGACGGGAAAAAGAAGCCTGTTTCTATGCTTAAGTTCTCTGTTATTTCTACTCTTTTTTGTTGGGTTTCAGGGAGAGATTATAGATCTGTGGAGGAAATTATTGTTTTTTTGGCCTCTCTGAAGGTCTAAGGCGCCCTCTGGCCCTTGTGTTCCTTTTGTTTCTTTGGGTTTCGCTCCCCTTTTTGAGTGTTTTTAATAAAATCTTACTTATCAAAAAAAAAAATTTATCAAAAAAAAAAGAAAGACAGAACCTGTTTGAATTATACATTAGTCCATTCTAATTATACAATAGGAACCTGGTTAAATTATACATAAGCCCATTCCAATTATACAATAGGCCTATTTAGAGTGTAAGACTAGGTTTAGCCCAACTAAGCCCCCATAACATAACAAACCCCATAATACCTTATAACCCTGACCCTCATTTTATTCTTTCTTATTTTCCAAATCGCCGCTCAGCCACAGGAACCCTTCTGGGTTAAACTCACCTCTCTCTCTCTCTCTCTATCGGCAAGATGAAAAAGAATGGTTCTATAACGGCATGGCAATGGAGATCTTTGTCGATCGAAGGACGAAATCTAAGTTGAAGTTTTGGTGATTGAGAGAAGATTGATCTGTAAGGGGCCTAAGGGCATACAACGACATGGTGATTTCCTCCATATATATTATGATTGATCTGTAATTTTAGTTCAATGTAATATATGTATATATATTGTTATAATCGTATATTATCTTCTCTGTAATTTTTGTCATTGAAGAATGCTGGTAAACCTTTATGACCTATGCCAATGCTGTCTCATTCACTGCTTTAGATTTCCTCTGTTAAACACTCTTTCTGAAGATCACAACAATATATATATATAATTTTTTTTTTTTTGATGAATAAGATCGCAACATTCTTCTTTTGACATTTGATTTAATTATTTTCTTAACCTATACACATGAACTTGGGTACACTGGTATGTGTGATAAGTGTAGAATTATTGAATTCCGAAGGCTTGGACAAGGGGACATGGATAACTATTCGTAATTACTCATTTTAATAAAAGGAAAATATTAGGAGAGCTTTTATGTACAAATATATAATTAATTCAGGTTATTGGATATACTTATGAGGTACATAGCGCAATCAGACTTGTCAGTAATAATGTAATAGAACGATTATAAGCAGAGAATTTAATGTACAATTATATACGGGATTCAAATTGTTGGATACGCTTGTTAGGTACATGAGCCAACTACATGTGTAAAAACATGTCTTGTACCCATGTCGGAGTGTTGTGTTTTCGATATGGGTACTTCTGCAATTTTAAAGAGTCGATAACATAGTTCTAACCCCCTCGTCCTGTGGAAACCCCAATAAATTGCCTTCTAAAACTAATACTTGTGCCAATCTATTAAAAATTAGAATTCAGAATTACTAAGCATTGAATTTTTCGTGAAGTTCAAGATCTTGTATGCATCTTGTAAAGAGTATTTATGACCTTTTCATAGAGAATTATTGTTACGACAAACATAACAAATCACGAATCATGACAGAAAAAACAAACAAGCCACACAGAAAAAACACAGATATATACGTGGTTCGGCACAAGTTGTAGCTGCGTCCATGGTGAAGATTTGATGAAAGATTTCCCTATGCGAAAATCAGGAGATTACAAGTTTCAGTCCCCAAACCCTAGTCTGGCTCTCACTCTCTTTCCTGCGATTTTCGGTGTTCTTTCGTTATTCCACTCCAAACCTAAACGCCCTTATATACTGGGCTACAAGAGAGTACTAAACATGGTCCACGGCCTGGGCCGAAACAAAATTCGGGCCACAACATCACAAGTATCATGTTTACTTTACACGCACAAGGCTTATTTATTTGTTTAATTATTTATTTAAGTAGCTATTACACTAAGCATTGTGGAATAAGCCAATCATATTTGAATCTGATTGGTAAGGAATCTCATTTTAAATATCTCATACATAATAACATTAATTATTTAAATTACATAATAATATTATTTGTTTTATATAATTAATTTTATTTTAGTTACGTAATTATATGTGCTTGTAAATCTCTCTTAATCACCTCCGATGTTATAATATTATTTATTTTAAATCATTAATTTTCTTTTAGGTACTTAATTATTTCTGCTTGTGCGGACATTTGAAATTTATTTATGATTATTTATTTAAATTTCTGAAATATATTTCTATTCTAATAACTAATATAGTAACATGAAATATAAATTTATAGATGATTAGATTATTAAACCACTAAATTAAGTTGGCTTCTCAAAGAAAAAAATTCAAGGTCCGAAATTACTGACTTAATTTTTAGATCTTGTTTATTTGGTAAAACAATATACAATATATGGAAGGTTGTGTGTATTTGCATTACCATATCCTTCTATCTGATAAGTCTGATGGCCTTAAGTTATTGTACATAATTAGTTGTAGTTGTTCAATTTTTTTTCCTTAACTTATTTCTTTCTTATTTTTTTCTGTAGTCATCAAATTGACGCAGAATTTCGCACACTATGTTTTTTTTTTGATAAGTATTCGCACTCTATGTTTTGAGCATGATTGATTGAACGAATGGTGAATGTTTGATTGATTCACACAATTTGCTATGGCGTGTGCTATATTTTTTTTAATAAATAAGGAATTTCTTTTGTTCTCGTCCCATAACCTATAATTTTGAAAAAAAAAATCCTATCACCACATCTGTCTGGGATGCATTAACTCTTCCCCTGACAGACACAAGTGTGGAACCAACTACATCCCATGATTCTCATCAGAATGCAGCCCTTGAATTTGTCTTTAGGGTGCCAAGTGCAAAAAACTAAATTCATGGTTCATATATGTGAAGCCAATAGCAAGAACAAGAACCTTTCACGTTGTAAACTTCTATGCTAGATCGTTCTGACTTCTGAGTAACAACTGCAAAGCAAAGTCATTGAGGGATTTTCTACGAGAATGTTTTCATGTCTTTTCTTGTGGCATCTTAACTCATTGTCACATCTGTATACGACTGCCTCATACATGAAAGTAACTACCCATTAGGTTCATGTGAAGAGTCTTTCTTGTGTTGCATTTGATTCTCTATTATGTTCAGTATACAATTGTATTACTTTTTCGTTGGGGCCTTAGTCCTGGTCCCACTCTTGTAATTGGGACGCGTTCCCCTTTTGAATGCCTTTTCTTATATTATTTTTACTTATCAAAAAAAAAAAAAAAAAAAAGATGTGCTTCACGTGGTCGATATTAGCTGTATAACTTAAACTATCTTTTGGCAGTAAAGATACTGCAAACTTTCATCGACCAAAAGCTTTATGGTATCCCCGTGATAATGAGGTGGCAGTCAAGCAACAAGGGAAGCTACTTACCCAAGGACCGATGAAAATTATAGTGAAGAGCTTGGGGGGCAAAGGAAGTAAGCTTCATGTGGATGCTGAGGAGATTCTTTCTTCTGTCAAAGCAAAAGCCTCAAAAACGCTAGGTTGATCATTGTTCTCATGCTTTTTTTTTCTGCTTTGTTCTTTCATAGGGTTTACTTAGTAATTTAAGTAATTTTTATTTTCTTTTTGTGATATTGCCCATTATTCTCTCTTATCTCTCTATTTATTTATTTATTTTTTTGTGTGGAAAAACTGGAGCCTACTTTCTTACTCCTCTCTCTCTCTCTTGTTTGCAGATTTTAGACCACCAGAGCCTGTTCGAATATTTTATTCTGGAAAGGAGCTTGAAGACCATAAATCTCTCGCTGTACAAAATGTTCGACCGAACTCGTTGCTTCATCTTGTTCGCACTAAAATACATTTGCTGCCAAGAGCACAGAAAGTTCCTGGTGAAAACAAGTCTTTACGTCCTCCTGGGGCATTTAAGAATAGATCTGATCTTTCTGTGAAAGATGGCCATGTCTTCCTCATGGAGTAAGTTACTTAACAATCTAATTCTTCACTTTCTGGCACAAATGGGGTTTCTTCGAGTTGTACATGTAGTTCACTGATCATTTGTTTGTTATTTATTTAGTTTTTACTCTCCTTATTCCCCTTGGTCAGTTTATGCTTATGGGTTCTATAGGATGGTGAATAAGTTGTTTTTGTTAATACTTTTCTTCTATGTGATGCTGTTTAACTATGTATCTCATTGGGCTATGGTTATCTAAATTCAGTAGCCCAACTCCACGAGGAGTTTGCTAAAATGGCCACATCTAGGGAAAAAAATCTTGTCAAAGACACATATGGTATTTAACAGTGATATTTAATGGTTATACGCATGTATACCTATATGCAAACCAAAACCATGACCCATATGATGTATCAATACGACTAATGTTGATAGAGTTCCAGCTAAACATGTTATTTACCTAAACGTTTTTGACCTAGATAAACTTGTAATTATAAGAATTAAAGAAGGATTACATAGTCCAAAAAAAATTAGATACTAACCTCTACGCAGAACGCATTTCAAAAGCTCTAATTTCCAGCTTCATCAAAACGCGCTATTTTTTTTATTAAACCTCTGCTCCCTAAACGCACTTTTTTTCTTCACCAAACACCACTAAATGCTATTTTTTAAATTCAATGCACTTTTAAAGGCTACAAATGCAATTCCAAACGGGCTCTTTGTGTGGTGTGATTACTTTTATGTCTTGTTTCTTGATTTATTCTTGAGTTTGCTGCGTTTATCGTAACATAGCCCATCCCTAATTGCAAATTCCAGTAAGCTATTTCCGCTCCGTCATTACTCCAACCCTCAGTCTCCTCTCCTCCTTCCCTTACCCTAATATATATATATATATATATATATATATATTGATAACCCATAAACATTTAGCGATACTCAGAACAACTCGTTCAACTCAAAATCGATTTCTCCACTCCCTTGAACAAGCGTGATGTTATCTAGGTACGTTGGATTCTGAAAAGCCCATTTATTTCTTAAGGAAATCTGAATTCTATCTGCTTGAAGAATTGTTAATAAGTGCTTTCATTTCTAAGTGTCAAGTTATACATGAATGTTCTACACAACTTCAAAGAAGTATGGTTCAAGAGAGTTGAGCATAAGGAGATTTGTGACACGAATAAGATTCAGTTGAAGAAATTCTTGTTTATCTGAATTATGAAGCTAGAATAGAAGTCCTCCATGGCATTTATTTAAGTTCGATTGTTTAAAAAATTCGGCAAAGGATAATTCATGAAAAAAAGAAATATAATTAATATCACAGATCTCCATTTGATGATTTATGAATATAAATTCTATTAAGGGAGGAGGTAAAGTGTTTTTATTTTATTAGTGTAGAGAAATTCAATTTAATTTTGGTGCTCATTGTTTGTGCTTTCGAATGGGTTGATAAATGACAGAAAATCCTTTTTTCTCTACAACTAGAGGAGGATCAATTTCAAGAGAAAATCATGTCATTTATTTTTTGATAAGTAAAACTGTAATATAAAGCGTTCAAAAGGGGAAGAATAAGAATTGTACTCAATATATCTCTTGCTTTCTTTGTTTCTTTTCTTTCCCTGACTGAAGTTTAGGGTTTAGTACCAGACATCTTACTTTGTTTCTCATTTTCAAGAATAAGAATTACCAGTTTTAAAAACTTCATATATTATTTTTCTTATTTATAGAGACAATCTCATGTCCTTTTAGATGACTTATTGGTGAAGTTATTTTTAAAAAGGTCATCCGTTGTGTTTTAGATTTGTTGAGCCTTAAAATGGCTGCTAAGTTGGAAAAATAAATAAATAAACTAGAATGTGCTTTTGATTCATGTAGCGGACCCCAAGTAATTGAGAAAAGGCTTGGTTGTTGGTTATTAATAGAATTTCAATGAGAGTTTCTTTCTTTTTCTTGTGGATCCCGGGCACTGTGTGGTCCGTATGGTTTTTGTTGAAAGCTTGAGCTTCATTTTTGTCTTCAATTTGCTTCTTGTTGGCATGTGTATTTACTTGTATTTTATGGAAATTCCAGAGCAATATTCATTTTTATCATTATAATTGCAGGTACTGTGAGGAAAGACCATTACTCCTGGGAAACCTTGGGATGGGTGCCAGACTGTGTACTTACTATCGGCAATCAGCCCCAAGTGATCAAACTGGAACCTTGTTACACAATGGAAACAACAGTTTGGGAAGTGTTGTCATACTTGATCCTGATGATAAATCCCCTTTCCTTGGAGATATGAACGCTGGTTGCACTCAATCATGCCTTGAAACTAACATGTATAGGGCTCCCATTTTTCCTCAGAGAGTTTCATCATCTGACTATCTGTTGGTTCGTTCTGCAAAGGGAAAACTTTCTATTAGACGCATTGACAGGCTGGACGTTGTTGGACAACAGGTTATAATGAATTCTTCTTTGTAGCAGTCCTTTACCTGAAACCTGTTCTTTTAACTTCTAAAGAATGTTGCTTTTGATTTCATTGTAATTGATGCTATTATTACTGATGATGATAATTTTGGTGTTTATGTCCATGCCGCTTTTTACATTATTAAATCTTGAAAAATAGCATATTGTAGTTTTGAATGCATGTTAGTTCTTTTCTTGTACTAAATCCGTGTACATGGCTTAGCAGGGTATAGAGGACTTCTTTCCACGATCATGTGTAGGGCATTTGTTGGCTTGTGAATGAAAGGCGGCCACTACTGTTATGTGCTCAAAAAGAGCTCTGCATATAGACAGGCACATTTAAAGGATGTTGTAAACATCGATCTGGCTTTTGGAAAAATATTGGTGGAAAATAAATGAAATAGAATTGTTAGTTACTCAGATCATTTTATAAATTTCTGAGATACTGCCATTTGGAGTGCCGTTAGAGATGTCACATAAATATTGTCTATTATAAATGGATTCAGATCAAAATAGTCCCTGGTTCCAATACGATAAGGCACCTTGTAGGATTCCGTTTAAATTAGTTTTTCAACTCCTGAGGTATAGAATTTATAAAAGTTCAGCTAATGTGTGATCGAATTTGTCTAACCAGGCTTAGTTTGTTTTAATTTTTTTTCTTTTTAGGAGCCTCACATGGAGGTAATGACTCCCGGATCAAAAGTTGTGCAGACATACATCATCAACAGGCTCCTGGTGTACGTATATCGTGAGTTTAATGCGGTTGAAAAGAATGGTTGGTTTCCTTGCATCCACGCGGATGAGCTATCTGCACAATTCCCTAACATCTCCAAAGCCCTTTTTCGGAAAAGATTAAAGCATTGTGCTGATTTGCAGGTGTGGTGCTTTAATATTAGTTTTGGAATCGATAGCACAAATGTTTGCAGTAGCTTTGTTGTTGAGATGTTTTTATTTTCCGTGAACCTGTATGCTTAACATACGTATGCAATCCACCAGAAAGGATCAAATGGACAGCTGTTTTGGGTTATGAGGCGCAATTTCCGCATTCCATTGGAGGAGGAATTAAGACGAATGGTGTCACCTGAAAATGTGAGTTCTGCTATATGATGTTTACCTTTCCTTCGTGTTAATGAATTAGACCTCACTATATTTGTAAATTGTTGGAAGCTTTATGGTTATCTCTTATAATTTGGAATCGTTTCTGATAAAAGAATTTCATACTTGAGAAGAAATATCCTATCACGAATAATGAGTTCACTGTGTAACTTGTAAAGTTCTTCCATTGTGGTTGTTGGCCCTCCAAAATAAGAAAGATGACAAACTTCAATAAAGAAAAAGCTTAAAATCTTTCTCGTGCCTTATAAGTTGCAAGTTAAATATCAAAAATGGAAATTACCTAGAGGGGAGGTTAGAAAGAGGCTTAATTTTATTTTGCACAAAGTGGCTGCCTCATACTTGATTTGCATCTGCACGCTTACCTACACGAGTTATTATCGTTGCACCTATGCCTCTCATTGGATTGAAATTTAATTGAGTTACGATTTTCATTGAAGAGAGAGGCAGGAAATTTGATGAATTTATATGTAATTTTACCATGAAATGATAAATGAAGCATTTATTTTATGATTTACGACTTAAAAAAAGTGGAAAATTTAAATTATTATATTTTTAAAAAAGTAAAAGAAACTTTAACTGACATTATATTTGCAAGAATAAAAGCCTAAAAATTAAATATATAGAATGAAAAAATGATTATCCTGCACTGTTAGGTGTGGCCCTAGACATTTTCACACCCCCAAATTTGAGGTCAAGGACATCCTGTCCTTACAAATTTAATGCATGACTGGATGCATAATCCATATTGGTAGATAGTTCAATCCTAGCATTTATTGACCTTCCTTTGGAGGGAGCTGCTTTTACATGGTCATGGTAGGGAGGTGCCCACTTTTTCCCACTTGGATAGATTCTTGAATTATGGGGAGTGGGAGGAGAAGTTTCCGGATGCTGTTCAGGCTGCTTTGGCTAGGGTGACTTCTGACCACATTCCTTTGGTTTTGGATTGTGGAGGATTGAGACCTCGTTGTACTCCCTTCAGATTTGAGAACATGTGGCTTAGAGTGGTTGATTTTCAAGGGAAAGCGCGGTCTTGGTGGGAGGAGGACACGGTGGTGGGAACAAGAAGTTTTATTTTGACTGGAAAGCTTTGACTCCTGAAGAACAAACTCAAAAGATGGAACAGGGAGGTGTTCGATAATCTTGAGTGGAGGAAGAATAGGGCTCTTGCTGATATTTTTGATTGATAGATTGGAAGGTGGGTGGTATTGTTGAGTCTTAACGAGATAGAAGCGCAGCTTGTCAGGCAGAGATTGCTGTTATGGAGTGGCGACATAAATCTCGGGCTTTATGGTTTAAAGAAGGAGACCGTAATACAAAATTTTTTTATAGACTTGTTAATGCCCATAGGAGGGGTCATCATATTGAGGAGAAGGTGTGTAGGGGGATTGTTTCTTTCTACTAGAAGCTCTACTTTGAGCCTCTACGTTGGAGGCCACTGCTTGATGGCCTTCATTTTGACTCTATTTCAGTAGTGGATAGGGATGGGTTAGAGAGTATTTTTTCAGAGGAGGTTTTGAAGGCTTTGAAGAGCTGCAATGGTGACAAGCCCCGGGTCCGGATGGTTTTATAATAAGTTTTTTTATTGAAAAGTTGGGAGGTTTCTGAGAGGAGGTTATGAGCACTTTTCACGAGTTCCATTCTAATGGGAGGGTCGAAAAGTCTAATTCCTAAGAAGGGTGGTGCTTTTGACGTTAAGGATATTAAACCAATAAGTCTGATTAGGTGTATCTACAAGCTTATCGCTAAAGTCCTTACGTTGAGATTGAGGGAGGTTTTGGATGGAGTCATTTTTGAGTCTCAAAATGCATTTATTGGGTGCAGGATTCTGCTCTCATTGCCAATGAATGTGTGGATTATAGGCTAAGTAGCGGTGTTCCTGAAGTTTTGTGTAAGCTCGATATTGAGAAAGCCTATGATCATATTAGTTGGAATTTATTGTTTTATCTGTTAAAGAGGATGGGTTTCGGAGAGACATGGAGGAGATGGATCAAGGCATGCGTTTTCTCTATCAGGTTTTCTGTGTTGGTGAATGGGTCTCCATCCAGGTTTTTTTGGCAGTTCTCGAGGATTGAGGCAAGGGGATCCCCTCCCCCTTCTTGTTCATTTTTGTTATGGAGGCTCTTAGTAGGTTGATGAGAAGAGCTGTGGATTTGGGATTTATCAGGGGTTTCAGGATGGGTCCACAATCAGTTCGGCAGATGTAGATCTCTCACTTGCTTTTCGCGGATGGCACTTTGGTTTTCTATGAGGCAGATATGTCCCAACTGAGATATTTGAGATGTGTTTTGATTTGCTTTAAGACAGTTTCAGGTTTTAAAGTTAACGTGGGTAAGAGTGTGCTTGTCCCTTTTGGGGAGGTTCAGGAGGTGGCTTCTCTTGTGGCGGTTTTAGGGTGTGGGACGAGCTCCTTCCCTATTTCTTATTTAGGCTTGCTGTTGGGTGATTCATCAAGGAGGGTGGGATGTTGGGATATGGTGATTGAGCGTTTCGAGAGAAGGTTGACTGGGTGGAAAAAACAGTATCTTTCGAAGGGAGGGAAGGTAACTCTGGTGAAGAGTGCATTGTCCAGTCTTCCAACTTATTATCTTTTCTAAATCCCTTCCTCTATTGTCGAAAGACTCGAGATGCTTCAACGGAACTTCCTCTGGGGTGACCGGGGTGAGGAGTTTAAGTTTCATCTTGTTTGGTGGGAGTAGGGTTGCAGGACTTTTCAATTGGGCGGTCTTGGGATTAGGAGGTTGGCTCCTTTCAACAGAGCGCTCCTTGGCAAGTGGTTATGGAGAATCGGTAGCGAAAAACATAGGTTATGAAGGAGGGTTATTTCATGTCGCTTTAGGGAGGAGAGATGGGATGGTCATTTACGCCAGTCAGATCTGTTGTTGGCGTGGGGGTGTGGAAATTTAATTTGAAGGAATGTGATGAGTTCTCTAAGCGCATTAGGTTCAGAGGTTGGGGGGGAAGGGAATGTCCGGTTTTGGGAGGATGCTTGCGGCGAGGATCGCTTGTTGTCTTGTTTGTTCCCAAGGTTGTTCAGGATTGCTGTTGGTAGACATGCTTTGTTAGCTGATTGTTATCGACTCGATAGCGGTAAGTTTACTTGGGATGTGCGATTTCGGCTATCCTTTCAGGATTGAGAGTTGGACGACGTGACTCGTTTGGTGGACCTTTTGTATAGATAGGAGGTGGATGGTATTGGTTAGGATTCCTTGTCTTGGGTGCCTTCTCCGCAAGTGACTTTTCAGGTTCGTTCCTTTTTTCTCTGCCTCTCCGAGTATCATGGTTCCAATTTCCTGTGGAAATTGGATTGGCAATCGAAGGCTCCTCTCAGGGTGGCTTTTTTTGTTTGGACTACAGCTTGGGGGCAAGATTTTAACTCTAGACAATCTGAGAAAGAGAAGACAGTCAACTGGTGTTGTTTGTGTAAGAATGATGGATAATCTATGGATCACCTTCTTTTACTCGTGGCTCATGACTGCTCGAGTCTTATTTTTGGTCCTTTTGGCATCCAATGGGATATGCCCTGAACTTCAAGGGATTTAATTGACGTTTGGAGGGGCCACATGGTGGGGGTTCATGCTCATGACTCTTGGAGAGTGATCCCCCTCTATGTTTGGTGGAATCTTTAGAAAGAGCGGAATATAATATCTTTTGATGGGGAGGAATCCTCCATTGGGGCTTTGAAATTTTCTATTATTATTTCTCTTTTTAGTTGGGTGATGGGGAGGAATTATATATTATCTTTAGATGAAATCGTGGATTTTTTGGGTTCTTTGGGTCCATAGGTCTCCTTTTTTGGCTTCAATATTTGTATAGCTCTTGGGATGCGTTCCCCTTTTGAATGCTTTCTAATACACTTTTACTTAGTAAAAAAAAAAAAAAAGGTAAATGATTATCCAAATCTACCAAAATTAAAATACTAAATGCTACGTTTGGTGTGCAGGAATGGAATGGAATGAAATGCCTCTTTCAACCATTCCTTTGTTTGGTATGCAATTTAAAGTGGGAATAGTCATTCCTGGGAATGAAAATCCATTCCACAACTAAACCTATGGAATGACCCTTCCATTCCTAAGTAATTTTTTTATAAAAATCAACTTCCCAAAAAACCCGTATATTTCAAGTCCAAAAACCACCACTACCTTCTACCATAACCACCTTCGCCTTTCACCACCACCGACTTTCACCATCGCCCACCGCCACCGACTTTCACCATCGCCCACCGCTTTCCACCACCATCACTGCCACCGCCTTTCACTACCGACACCGTCTTCCTTTGCCACAACCGTCGCCACCGCCACCGCCACCGTCACCACCACCGCCACCGCCACCGCCTTTCACCACAACCACCACCTTCCACTACCACCGCTACCTTTCACCATCGCCATCGCCATCGCCTTTCACCACTGCTACTGCCTTCCATCGCCACCACCTTCCATCACCACCACTATTGTCACTGCCTTTCACCACCGCCTTCCACCACCACCAGAGCCACCGCCTTCCACCACCACTGCCTTCCACCAGCGCCACCACCTTCCACCACCACCAGTGCCACCGCCTTCCACCACTGCCACCACCTTCTACCACCACCAGCGCCACCGCTTTCCACCACTGCCACCACCTTCCACCACCACCACTGCCACCACTTCCCACCACCGCTACCACCACTTCCCACCACCGCTACCACCACTGCTACCGCCTTCCACCACCATCGTCACCGCCTTCGACTACCTCCACCACCACCTTCCACCGCCGCAAACTCCACTGCCTTCCACCACCACCACACTACTGCTACCGCCTTCCACCAGCACCACTACCTCCTTCCACCAACACTGCCGTTGCCGCCTTCCACCATTGCCACCACCGCCACCTTCCAACACTACCACCTACACCACTACCGCTTCAACACTATCCACCACTGCCACTACCACTGCCATCATTTATTTTTAAAAAATTATAGAAGAATGTCATTTTGTTAATTTAATTTATTTGTTACTAAGAGGGATATTTTGGAGAACTCAATTTGAAATTTATTCCATTCAAAATTTTAAATTGGTCCAACCAAACACTAGAATGGTTATTATCATTCCATTCCTACACATTTCATATTTACAACCAAACAATAGAATGAGAATGGTCATTCCTTTCCATTCCCATTCTCATTCCATTCTCACTTACATTCCATTCCATTCATGCACACCAAACGCAACATAATGAGTTTTGTTGTTACATAAGGCTCCTCAAAACTATCCCTTGTTAAATAGTAGACAAATTATCTTTAGCTGATTGAAACTTCTCAGGATAGTATATCCTCTAGCATCGATCCATGTCTTCAAGCACCTAAAAGGGTGAGTAAGAAGTGGGGAGGGGTGAGCTTGGAAAGCCCAATACAGAGCAGTCTAACCAATCGTCAATAAACACCATAAAACTTGCAAATATTGTATTTTCCTTAATTTTTAGTTTGATAAATTCAATCATACACATTTAAATAATGATATGTACAAATTAAACTTCAGTAATTTATTTAACTCTTTCTAAAGGTTAACGTTAGACAAATTAAAACACCTAATCATCATAAAAATCATTATCCCATCACAGAAATTGAAATCCATGGCTGCTTCAAGGAGAACGTCGAGATGCCCCCGGCAAAACTCTCCCATCAGCCGATCCATGACTAGGCCAACCCACTGCATGACCTGGGTCTCTATCTGACGATAGAAGGGCATCCACTTAAATTCCCCCGCAGGTTGATAGGGGCGTTCAACATCTCTGTAATTGAACTTGCTTATCACTAGGTCATGATCCAACTTAGACCAATAATATTAAATTCTGTTGGCTAACCTTAAGTCATAAACTAATCTGGACACAACTCATCCAGTATCATAGCCTATCCATCCAACTCCATATTCCTTGTAACTGGGAGAGTACACAACCCTCGAGATAGGTGTAAGGGATCACATTGCTTACATGTACCTTAGTGGTCAGGGTCATAAACAATTTCCCAAGGTCCACTCACCTTATACCACTGATATGAGGTAGCTCGGCTCAATGATAGGTGCACCATAAGTTGTTTGAATGTGCACAAAGTTTGTCCATAAAATAAAGATCATGGCCTTGCACAAAGTTTGACCACATGATCTGTATCCCAGCCTCACACACACTGTTCGACCATTATCATCTTGGTCTCGCACAGTTTAATTGTGGATCTGCTTTGTTATTTTCTAGTTTATATATCTTCAGATCATTTGGTAAAATTTAATTCAAGGATTTTCCGTATAAAAAAAAAAAATTAAAATTAATTCAATGATGTGTATGGTAAAGCTTAATGTTATATGTGCAAGAGAGTATATGTATGATGTGGTTGACGACATTTGGTTCATTATGTTCAAATGTTGTGTGGTGTCTGCATGTGTGGCACTTCATATCAGCTCGTGTGATAACAGCTGTAATGTGTGAAAATATACTTTTTCTTGGCATAATACAACATGCCTTTCAGTTTACCAATCTCTGGATTTGGGCATTATTTCAAAATCTTGTTGGGCATAGCCTTGGAGGTGGAGAGATTTTAGATGAATGAAGGCAAGTTAGAGAAAGAAGTTGACGAGCTTGAAACTCTTGAGGTGAAATTGCATATATGTAAGAACCGAAAGTTACATTGCCTTGACTAGGAAACCTCAATCAAACCACAAGCTATCACATCTTCCATTTATATCTCAACCCACATAAGTTTTGGTCTTCTTTGTCCCCTAATGTTACCCTTAGTTTGGCTTCCCCTTCCCTTAGCATTACTTTCAAATCTCAATGTTGACCAAATCACCCTTCGTTGATGGTCCAATGCAGTTATTGGTCTTTGTTGCACATGGCCAAATCATCTTAATTGATTTTCTCCCATTTTATTTCCAGTGGGTGCTACCTCAACAGCATCAAGTATCTGTTAAATTTCTAATTTTATCCTTTATTTTATTGTTATACGCCCTCTTATCATTCTCAGCTCAGTCATGCTCATTTCATTTATACGTTGTTTGTTTAATAGTCTATAACATAACTCATGGCTGTCCCATCCTTTTTTGTTTTGCTTTTCTCATGGTTGGTAATACAGATATGAATAAAAATTCCATTTTGTTAAAAAGTTGTGTAAATCTCTTAGGATCATGTTTTCCTTGTTTTCTGATGCTTTCCACATTCTTTTTATTTAATTGCTTTTATTCTAATTCTTATGGCGTAGGTCTGTGCCTATGAAAGCATGCATGCTGGCCTGTACAGGCTCAAGCGTTTAGGATTTATAAGGCTGACTCATCCCCATGGCCTTTCGTCTGCAATGAATCAGCTTCCAGATGAAGCAATTGCTTTAGCTGCTGCATCACACATTGAAAGGGAACTGCAGATAACTCCATGGAACTTGAGCAGCAATTTTGTTGCTTGTATAAACCAGGTAAAGTATTTCAATCTAATTAATATATATTGTTTTGCACGCTTATTTTGGTGGTTGGGGAAAATATTTGTTGGAGAATTGTATAGCAACGTTGTTGAGGGAGTTATAATACTGCAGAACGCGACTCCTTGCACTGAAAGCAGCCAATGCCCTTAGGCTATTGTCAAATTGCCCAAAGTCCTGTCAGGATACTGACAAATTCTAGCTTCACTGCTAAATTTGAGCTTTTATTTGAACCTTTATAAGTTCTGATTTTCTATCAATCTTTTTATTTCAGTTATTGCAATATTCAGGATCATTTATAATGACTCACTTTGTCATTCCCCCATAAACTTGTGCACCTTCAGTCACATTTATGAAGCATGATGCTAGGACAGTTGTATCTTACTTTTCAGTCCATACACTTATATTCTGAGCTTCGTTTCATTTTGTTTCTTCAGGATAGAGAAAATATTGAACGTCTGGAAATCACTGGTGTTGGTGATCCATCTGGACGGGGCCTGGGTTTCAGCTATGTCCGCACTGCTCCAAAGGCACCAGTGTCTAATGTGATGATGAAGGGAAAAAAAGCTGTTCCTGGAGGAGGTTCAACTGTAACCGGAACAGATGCTGATCTACGTAGATTGAGCATGGAAGCTGCACGAGAGGTATGCCTTTCTTTCACCATCCGTAGAGAGGAAAATAAAACTCATGTTATAATTAGTTTCTAATTCAGTTTGATTAGCCTTATTCCAAATAAGCTCTACATAAAAAATTTCTGTAACTTGAATATTTAAATTAGCTCTAGAAACTATTTCTTATGTTACTTTGGTAGAAAATTGGTTAAAATTTGCAGTATTAGTAGCTAAAGGATAAGCTTCCATTAATTGCTCAAATCCAAGTGTCTGCCAAATGATCATGGCTTTTACAAATGTTCTGGGAAAAGTCCCTATGTTTTATTATTCTAAAAATTTATTTTCTACAGATGCAATCTATTTCTACCAATTATTGTGAACTTCACAGTGTGTCAACAAATGGATTCACAGGATTGTTCAGTGTCTTATTCTTCAAATCAGTGGCTTATATCAGACCACATCAAAACCGTATTGTTTTGAAGGGAACAATTTACCAAGACACCGTTACTAAATGGCTTCCCTTCTCTCTTTTCTAGTTCTCCCGTTAGCAAATCACAAAATCAAATATGTCCATATCTCAAGATAACTTAGAGATTTTTTTTTTTTTATGATTAGTCAAGATAACATAGAGAATTTTGACATAGAAGATCCTAATCCATTTATAAATCCAAACTTCTTGAAATATGAATGACTTTTGGGTAAGAAGAGCCAAGATTGGAAGAGTAGCTTAAAAATATTCTTTTGGCTTGCATTACCAATACAAAATTCCAACTAGAATCAACCTTCTTTTGAGTAGCCACGTGCTTATATATTAGATGATGGCTAAGATTTCTTGATATATTAATGTCCAATAATCTGCTGAAACATTTAATAATTCAACAATAATTAGATAATAGCTTGGTACAAAAATGATGGCTGCCTAGGTCAATCAAAGGTATTCTATAAAATGAGTAGAGAACTTAATGTAAATTTGGTCCAGAACTGCCACAAAATTAGGCATGCTAAAATTCCAAATAAATAAATAAATAAAATAACAATCAAATCACATCTCAAATATATTTTGCAGAAATATTTTGGAGGTATGACTATATCTACAGGTACAAATTGTGTCCGCACTGACGGAGAGGACCTTTTTTTCCCTTATTATTATTATTATTATTATTATTTATAAGTACTGATGGAGAGGGCATTGAGAATCTAAATTAGTGGTTGAGTCTGTTCTGAATTTATGCTCTAACCAAGAAATTAGATGGTAATATTAGGAATCCCTTAGGTTATGGAATAAAATGATTGAAGTTGGTAATGATAATATAAAAATTGGGAGGTTGAGATCTAGAGTGTGTTGCAGTTTGTGTTACTGAACATTAAATGAGGAGTGTTTGCAAAATCTTTTTGGTTTGGTGACACTGGTTGTAGTAATGGGTCTGAGCTTGATGGTTTAGTGAGTGAAGGGTATGAGCAGCTTGGTGTTTTTGTATAGAGTGATCTCACTGAACTATTGAGGCAAGTCTGAGATGTACGGTGATTTCTGGTGGTAGGTGTTTGCGATATCAAGGGAACCATAGAAAGGTAATGAGGGGGAAAATGGTGAGTGAAGTGAGGGCAGTGGAGGTGATGCTCACTTGTCCCTGGAGTGCTGTGTTTGAGGATTCTGTTGTATAAAAGCTTAAGGTTTGTTGGTATTCATGGCAGAAAATGGTGCTTGAACTGGAGGGATTGAAAGAGAGAGGGGCCTTAAATAGTGCAACCGTCCTTGTTTTTGTTGGAGATGGTGGTTGCAAGTTGCAAGCAATGGTTTTGCTAGACATGGTGATGGAGTTATGCACAGTTCTCGTTTGTAATGGGGCTTGATTGATCAATACTACTGGGTCAATAGTAAATAGAGAGAATAGGCCGTTTTATTCTTCTTTTGTATGTCGATGACATGATTTTGACTGGTGATGACACAACTGGTATTGCTCTCTTGAAGTCTCAATTACAACAGCAGTTTGAGATGAAGGATCTTGGTCCTCTTCGTTATTTTCTTGGCATTGAAGTAGCTCATTCTCCCAAAGGTTATCATCTCTCTCAATCTAAGTTTGCCGGAGATGTTATTCGTAGAGCTCGTCTCACTGATACTCTGACAGCTGACAATCCCCTTGAGCTTAATGTTTGCTATACTCCTACTGACGGTGTCCCTTTGGCTGATCCTACTTTATATCGAACTATAGTTGGCAGTTTAGTATATCTCACTGCCACTCGACCTGATTGTCAGCTAGTCTGTATCGTCTCCTACTACTGTTCACTGGGTTGCGGTTCTATGTATCTTGCGTTATCTTCGAGGTACTTTGCACCAAAGTTTGTTGTTTTCTTCTACATCAGCTTTGGAGCTTCGTGCTTTTTCTGATCCTGATTTGGCTGGAAATCCCACAGATCACAAGTTTTCCACTGGTTTCTGCATTTTTCTTTGTGATTCTCTAAAAAAGCAAGAAGCAAACAGTTGTTGCTCGTTCGCTAAACAGGACACATGGACACTACTAAATATTCATTTTATTTTATTTTCTAGAGTAAAGTAATGTTTTTATCTAATATAGTGTTCAATATAGGCATTTAACTCATTTTAAATTAATAATATAATATAATTGAATGATTGGATATGGGTTTTAATTACATGTCCACCCAAAAGTGTTGGACACATATCCCAAACCCCATGTCCGAGCAATATGTGTCCGACACAGGTACTTCGCTACTTTTGAAGAGTCCATGTAACATAGGCCATGGCTGCAACTACAGCGGATATAGTTTGGTTACAGTGGTTACTCTGATTTGTGTGTTTCCTTTGGTTGCTCCAACTTCTATGTGCTGTGATAAAAAGAGTGATATTCAGATTGCGCACAATTTTGTTTTTCATGAACGCACCAAGCACATCGAGATTGATCGTCATTTCACGTACCAACACCTTCAGCTTGGCACCATTTCTCTACCATTTGTTTCTTCTTCTCTGCAGTTGGTTGACTTCTTCACAAAGTCCCACACTATTTTACGTTTTCGTTTTCTTCTTAACAAACTCTCGATGCTCCTCACTGTCACATCGTGAGTTTGAAGAGGAGGGAGGGGGGTTAGAGTAGGATTTATTTTTATTGTTGCGGGTAGTATTGTCCTTTCCTTAGTTTATTAGTTTAGACTTTAGAGTTTATTAGTTTAGGGCTTATTATATTATTATGTTGTTACGACTACTGGATTTTCGTCTCTCATCTTCTCTGTGTAATATTTTCAAGCAAGCTGCAGTTGGGCTCAAGGTTGATCCAACAACAATCAGCAAGTATGCGCGTGGTCAGCGAATGTCCTTTCTCCAGCTTCAGCAGCAGACAAGAGAAAAATGCCAAGAAATTTGGGATCGACAAGTTCAAAATCTTTCTGCTATTGATGGTGGTGAAAATGATAGTGATTCAGAAGCAAATGGTGACCTAGATTTCTTTGCTGGGGACCTAGAAAATCTGCTGGGTGCAGAAGAATGTGAAGAGAGTAACTATGAAACCAAGCATGACAAAGCAGATGGTGTGAGGGGGTTTAAAATGAGAAGGCACCTATCCCAAGCTCTGGTGGAAGAGGGAATTGAAGATGATGCAGCTGAAGCAGCTGAATTGTGCAGGATGCTTATGGATGGTAAGGACTTAATTACTTACTTGGTTTCTTGATATACAATACTGTTATTTATGGCAAGCTACTGGTTGAAGAGTATTTATAAAAAACAAGAAGCTGTCTTTACACAATTACGCATGATTACACCTTGAATGAGCTTTTCTTCAGTTCAAATCATATATGGAGATATATATGAATGTATATATATTCTTTTACCTTTGCTTTTAACTATATTTTTTATGAATTATGAGTGGTAAACTGAGAACATATAAAATGGAAGGAATGTATGAAAGTAGAGCATATCCTATTGAATGGGTGAAAACATCTTGACCATGATGAAGAATGTGGAACTTTGTTGCTTCTTTTCATGCTCTGGAAGATGCATGTTAACATCAATTTTAATTACCTCTATAATATATTGTGAACAAAATCTTAGTGCTTATTTGAGAGCTGCCCAGGGTTTGTCTTGCAAACATAATAACAGAAACAAATCTTTCACATATCATGTTATATAGTTGACCTCGATATTACTTTGCAGATGAAGAGGTTGAGAGGAGGAAGAAGAAGAAGACAAAAGCTGCAGGGGAGGAAATGGGATTAACTCCAGGCTCGCAGTCAAATTTCTTTGAGAATGGAGACCAGGTCAAGAAAACTAATACAATTGTCGAGAATACTACTACTAGAGCCCTACCTGATGGATCATATATATCAAAAGAGAATATTTTTCGAGACCCAAATAAGGTAAGGATGAGTTCTTTTAGCTTTGTTTATCTACCATACTTTTTGCATCCTGTTTTGGATTGACATGTTTCAATTTGATATAGACGTTACATCAAGCCATGGAGTCGATTTTTCATTCATTGAAAGTATAATAAGATAACTATTTTTTGGTGGCAGGAGGAAAGGTTTAGTTCCAAAAAAAACTTATCTGAAAAGGTAAAACTGATAAAAAAGAATGACACTGCATGCATGGGTTTACTCAACAAGAAAGTTAAAATATTGGGGGATGGAATACAGGTAAATTCATCTCTCCCCCCGAAAAGCACGTGATACAATTAATTCATTAGACTCGAGTCATTCTTGTGTATTCAGCAGCTTTACTAGTGATCTCGATTTTTTCATTCTTCTGTTGTGTTGCATGCATACAAGTGTCACATATATATTGCACCAGATGCTGAGTTAACTTCTTTTTCTTCTCCTCTGTCAATGTTATAAATTCATTGTTAATTATGAGAAAGTTCAACTTTTTTTTTTTTTTTAATTTTTATTTCTATGGCTTTAAACCAATTGAATAACTCTGCCTGAATCCAGATTATCAAGGAAAAGAAATCCGCAAGAGAGAGTTTTGTTTGTGGAGCTTGTGGTCAGGTGTGTAGCTTAAATGTTAGAACATTTTTCCTTTTCTTTTTTCGGCAAGTATATTGGAACTTTTTCTTGTTTGATAAAAATGTGAGAAATTTAATTATGATTGTTTAATTTCTGATATATCAGCTTGGCCACATGAGGACCAACAAGAATTGCCCCAAGTATGGAGAAGATCCAGAAACACGGGTTGAAAGTACAGATCCGAATAAGGCATCTATGCGATCTAATGCTTCCGATTCCTTGCCTCAGCCCCAGCAGAAAGCTATGACAAAGAAGCTTATAGCAAAAAGTGTAACAAAAATTGCTGTTGTGGAAGTTCCTGAAGATGATAAGTCCAGTTCAAAGGCAAAAATTCTGAAGGTCAAATGTGGTTCCACTGATAAGCTACCTGATAAACATGCTCCTTCTGCCTTACAGAGCTCTGACCGACCAATAACATCAGATGCTGAAATTGGGAACATGTCTTCCGTTAAAGTTAATAAAATAATATTTTCCAACAAGATGAAACCTGAAGATGTCCATGTTGAATCTCACAAGCCGTCTATTGTGATAAGACCACCGATGGAGACAGAAAGAAACCAGCCTCGCAAGAAAATCATAATCAGAAGACCAAAGGAGATCAATCAGGACCAGGTCAATCAGGAAGGTAGCACTGATCTGGAGTACAGGAAGATGAAGAAAATTATAGAATTGTCAGGTTATGAGAATCATAGAGAGCGGGAGAGCAAACATTTAGTTCTCGAGGGAGCAAAGCAGAAAGTCAGAGAAGGTAAACGATGGTGGGAAGAGGAGGAGAAGAGGAGAATCACAGAGAAACAGAGAGAAGAGAGAGCCAGAAGGTTTTTTGAAGAACAAAAGAGAATAGAAGAAGAACAAGAAAGGTTAGCTGCATTAAGAAAATATGAAGAAGACATAAGAAGAGAGAGGGAGGAAGAAGAACGTCAGAAGGCAAATAAGAAGAAAAAGAAGAAAGAAGTGCCTGAAGTAAGAGATGATTATTATGATGACTTGCAGCCAAGAAGAAATGACAAAAGGATAGCAGCAAGATATCGAATTGTGAAGAGGAGACCAGTAATTGATTTGGGAAGGTACGGTGCAGAGTATGCTCCACCCACAAAGCGCCGTAGAGGGAGAGAGGTAATTGCTGGTTATTTCCTTGTCATATCTCTATTCCCTTTACTTTTCATTCTGGTTTTGGGTGATTTAGATGGACCAGTGCTACATATTGATCTCTGGGGACAATTATTTTCTTTTTCGTTTTTCATCTCATCTTGCTAAATAGGGAAGTTTAGAGGAAGGAACACGAAGGAATTGATCATCGTAAGAATGTATAATATACATATAGGTCATTGTCTAGTTTACTAACTCTTTTTGAGGATTTCCTTTGATGAAATGATTATAAAAGCAGTTATACCTCTCTCTTCTGGAAGAAGCTTAAAAGATATAATTTAATGTTAAAAGATAGCACAGAATGGAAATTAGGTATCTACGCTTGCTATTTACTTTCACTTTCTTCAAAGAATTAAATAGGGGCATTGAGAGGGAAAGGGGGTCGGAACTGTGGTGGCTTGCTCGACAGCAGGATTAATTGCATTTTATATGTTTCGGATCTATTTACTTACTTTTGAGGGTCATTTAAACGTTCATTTTCAAAATTATAGCAGGAAAAAAAATACCCTGTTCTATTCAATATCTCTATGGGGGTAAAGTAGGTTTGAAAACAATTAACAAAAAATTTCGCTTATTAACTTTTTTAATGAATACTCCCTCCGTCCCATATTAGTGGTCCATTTTTCTATTTTTGGCTGTCCCATAATAGTTGTCCCATTTCAAAAATCAATGCACTATTTTTATTAACATTCCCAATTTACCCCTAAAAGATAAAACACAATAAAGTGTCAAAATGGTGGACCCCATCAAAGAATAACATTTAAAAGGGATAAATTTGGAAACCAATCTAATAAAAGCTAGTGTCTTAAAATGTGTGAATTTTGAATGTGGACATCAATAATGGGACAGAGGAAGTAATATGCATCTTTAATTGCCCTGATGGTGCTTAGAAATCATTTTATTAGTTGATTTGTCAACCGTTTGAAAACATGTTTTAGTTGACTACTAACTGCGTTCAAAGAAAGCAAGAACTTCAGAGTGGAAGATAATTATTATTTTTCTTGCAAATCCTTTTCTTGAGCTGTTAGTAAATCCAAACATATCATAGGGAATACTCATAACAGTCACCAAAAAGGTTCCTGACTGATTTCTCCAGAATTATGGATTGTATTTGAGCAACTTGTATCTTTTATGGATGATTTTATCGTCTATACTAATTTACTATGCATTTACTTGTTTAGTGAAGAATATTTTTCCTTTTGTATGATATGATATTCATTTTTTAATTTAATTACAGGTTGGGTTGTCTAATATTTTAGAGGCCATTGTGGAAACCCTAAAGGGCAGGCATGAGGTGTCCTACCTTTTCTTAAAACCTGTATCCAAAAAGGAAGCTCCTGACTACGGGGACATTATAAAGCGCCCTATGGATCTGTCCACAATCAGGGAGAAGGTGAGGAAGATGGAATACAAGAGCCGAGAGGAGTTCCGGCATGATGTGTGGCAAATTACATACAATGCTCACAGGTACAACAATGGGTGCAACTCCGGTATTCCTCCACTAGCAGATCAGCTTTTGGAGCTTTGTGACTACCTGGTAAGTGAATATGATGAGGCCTTGACAGAAGCAGAAGCCGGTATCGAAATTGGGGAAATTTAGATTGTTAGATTAAGATTATTTTGAAATCCCTAGATTGTTGAAGCCTGAGGCCTTGACAGAAGCTGAAGCCGATATCAAAAGTGGGGATTAAGATTTTTTTTTGAAATCCCTAGAATGTTGAAGCCTTTTTTTTTTTTCTTCTTTTGGGGTTTTTGATGGATGGGAATGGCTTTGGTTTTAGCTCGTCGGATGAAAATTTCCATAGTTGTGAACATTTAGTTGCATCCGATCTGGCCGAATATATGTACATTCGGGTTATTTTGGTAATATAAAAGTTCCATTTGAAATCTTTTCGACGTCCAAATTATAGTCATGCTACTGTATACTACTTGCTTAGTTTGTTACAATACTTTTCTACTAATAGAACTGAAAAAGAGAACTATTTCATTTTCACACAATTTTGCTGTTTTCACACTTTATGTGCCAATCTTGCGTTTTAAAAGCAAATCCTTTCATAATTCACGAAATCAAATTTGTAATTCTCTCATTTATTCAATTATGGGCAACCACATGACTCACATGTGGAATTTTTTATTGAAGGTAATTAATAAAATATATTTAATTAGAAATTTACAAAACGGAGAATAAGCATACAATACTGGAAAAAAAAAAAAATTGTTGTTGGTTTTATATTGATCACTTTTATTTTGTTATTTAAGTCTAAAATATTAAATAGGAATGTACGCAAGCAAATTATAAGAATACATATGAATTCCTTCTATTTTTACTTTATTTTTATTTAAGACGTTATTTTTAAAATTATTAATTTCATCGTGTACAAAAATTTAAACAATAATAGATTTCTGAGGTAGCATTTCTTTAAAAAATAAAAAATATGCTATAATTTTTGTATTTTAATTATTATTAATATTATGTATAACCTTAGTCCTAATATAGAGGATATTAGCTTACTTATAGTTCAAACACATTTTCTACTACTTATAAAATTATTTTTTTACTGTATAATAAATTATATAATTGCCTTTTATTATATGTACAGATTTTGAAAATATTTTATACACATAATAGCACAGTAGTGTTACAAGTGTACAAGTGCTTTGGAGGCGCTCTTGCTCTGATCAAATTTTAGATTTTGTCACTTTCGAGTTCCAGCTCTTGATCATTTTTTATAACTATTTTTAATTTTTAGAGTTTTCAAAATTTATTTTCAGATCCAAATTATATTGTCATGCTATTCTACAGGACCTGGTTGGTTTTATATATAATAATTTTATACCAAGAGAACTAAAAAAAGAGATAAATTGAACTAAATGACCCCATTCTTTAAATTGTCTTGGATATCAATTATCAATTTATTATAAACAAACATTATGGGTAATACTTCCACTGTGGGGTTGGGGTGAGTAACCGAAAGTTTACCTGGTAGCTATAAGTCCAAAAGACGGATAGTTGCGAAGGTTCCCATGCCAACCAATAAAAAAAAAAGAAACCATAATGGGTAATGCCAGAATACCCTACTTAAAAAACCTAGTTTAAGCTGACAATGATGTGCCAATAAGTTAAGTTTCCTTTTAAGACTCATTGAAAGAATACAAATTTTAGGACAAAATTAGCCTTAAAATTAAATCGCTGATACCCCTTTGTTGTTGTTATTATTATTATTATTGGGTAAAATGCATTTAACAACACCCCTTAATGGAGGGGACAAAAATAACCCCACTAACCAAGTAAGGGGTTTATGCAGTTTGCCATATTTGTGGTTCAATTCAAGTTCGTGTTAATGATGTATCTCGCAACTAACCGAATATAGGTTATGTTTCTGTATATGCACGTAGGCCTTCAATCTATGCAAATTATTCCAATGATAAGGAGATCGATTTAGTGATCGAGATAGACGCAGCAGAAATCGTAGACATCCTAACAATCATGAGTTTCAAGCAAAACTTGATCCACTCAATGGAAGTATTATTATATAAGATGTCTTGGATTGGGTAGAAGAGGTTGAAATTTTTTTCGAATATTTTGATGTACCTGAAAATAAGCAAGTTCCGCTTGTTGCCTTCAAGCTTAAACGATGAGCTTCAATTTGGTGGGAACAAACAAGGATTGGCCGGAGGAGGCAAAGAAAACAACCCGTGCGGTCGTGGTACAAGATGAAACGATTGTTCATGGCTAAATTCCTACCACCAAATTATGAGGAGATGATGTATAAAAAATACCGAAATTGTTGCAAAGAGAGTCCATCTATCAAAAAGTCTACAAATGAAATTTACAAAAAGATAGTGGCATCAAGGATAATAGTAATTTTGTTTAAGCAATGACTGATATTATTTAAGTTGATCAAGAGCAAAATTATGTTGCTTCACCTATTGTTCAAGAAGATGAAGTCAAGGATGTGAAAATATTAATTCCTTTGCACAAGTTGGTAGATGCAGAAAATGATTTTAGCATGACAAAAGAAGATGATGGTGACAAGAAGTTCAATGCTAAAATTGAGCAACAATAATTAATTAATGATCAAAGGGTTAACAAATTTTTCCAAATCAGATGGTATGAAAGAATTCGGGCTTCAATTAGGTGAAATATCACTATTTGGAGTAGATTGTAAGTGAAAAAGTTTTTAATTCGGAATGTGCCAATGATGATATTTTGTAGTTGTGTTTTGGAGGTTCTCATGGGAATAATTATTATACTATTGTGGTAGATAATACTTCATATTATTCGCAGCCAAACTGGATGACTAGTTTTTTGAAGTGAAGAGGACTGATGCAAGATAGAATTCTGTACAGTTTGACAAGTCTTTTTTTTTTTTTTTTAGTATACCATAAATGAGTGTTTTTTTGGGTGGAGACAACCCATTGAGAAAAAACCCACTAATTTTCACTTATTGACCATATCGATTTTCGACTGAAAACCTTCATTTAGGGTTTCAAAATCGCATTTATTGTCTTATTGGAGGGTTATTGATTATTTCGAAATTTTTGTTGAAGGCCTAAACAAAGTCAGGTTCATCTAAAAATTTATATCAGTATTATGGTTTCTCTATTATAAATATTGATGTAATGCAAAAGCAAATTTTAATTGTTGATTAAATAATATTTTAAATTGCTTTGCAATTTTTCTTCACGTTGTGGATTCAAAGTTACCTCTTGTTCCTTTGTGAATGATTCACAGCTTTTCACTACGAAAAAAATTACGTTTGTTATGATCTCTCCAGGGTAGGTTGAGTATAGGTGAAAAAAAAAAAAAATTTCGATTTCTTTATTGCACTCTTTGGTAGTGAGAAGCTTGGCTTAGATTTCTCGTTCATAGAGGAAGATTGGGCCCTTATGGAATGAATACTCAGCCGCTCTAGTCTAGTACACATGCTAGTACACCGAAGTGGAAGGTTTCATTTCATCTTAAAGTTGCCCTGCCTATGGCGAAGTTGGGGGCACAATCGGAAGGAAACGATGGGGCACCAATGAAAGAAAGTGTCTAAAGCAAGGGCTCTTACTGAAAGAGTGGATTCCTCGCCGTGAAGAACTGAAGCGGTTTGGCTTTTGTTTTAGCTGATTGATGGCTATTGTAATTAGTGTTTATTGAGTTTAGTTTGTGGCTACTTTGGTGTAGTAAATTGTATTGAAAAGTGTGAAAATTTTACATCAACTCCAAGTTTTTCTCTAATTATCTACTTTTTAAAAATTAAACTCATAATTTTTGTTTCTTTATTATTATTTTAATGCTTATCTCTCCTCATTAAATAGTTTTTATTGTATAAAATGTATATTTTGTTTGTAATCATTTTTATTAATGTTAAGGATATGAAAAACTTTATGAAAAGGAAGAAAATATATAAATTAATTCAATCTCAAAATGATGCTTTTGATACAATTGTTACAACTAATAATTAAAATACAACAAACAATTTAGGTGAAATCAAGTCTATCTAATTAGTAATTTTGCATTTCAAAAACAAGAAGAATGCTTTTTAAATAAAATTTATTAATTAGTATATAATATTTTAAATATTAAAATATTAATTTTATATTTTTCGCCTCAAATTAGATTGAATCGGCTTGCGCCAAAGATAAAGCTAAACGTCGATAAATAGAGGGTTAAGTGCAAAAACCCCCCCTTTACTATTGATATAGTGCAAAAAGGTTCTTGTGTAGTATAAAATTCCCTATATTATTAATTTGGTGCAAATAGGTCTCTGTTGGGTATAAAATGACGATAATACCCTCACTTCAGTTGAACAAATTAATAACTATAAATACATGTCATGTAAAATGACCCTTTGTCCAATTTGTGTAAAATTGTGTTTGTTTGGGACAAGGATAAAATAAACCTCAATTTGTATAAAATTGAGATAAGCTAAACCAAAGAAACCTAAAACTGAATATAATAAAAACCAAAACCAAACAGTTCCCTACCATATAAGACACACTTATGCCGCCGTATAATGAAGAGCCATTCCAGATGATCTTCAAAGGAACCTCAAATGAGTTGAATAGTGACACATAATGCATCTGAATACTGAACACTGATGAAACCATCCAAGAGAGGACAGTCATAACTCAAAACTTAAGTTTGGCTGATGTTTAATATCCAAGAACAATACTTTTCCATGGTTAAATCCACCTGATAAATTTCAAAGATTGCTGGTAACTGATGTACCATGGTAATATTGATGTCAAATTGTTATCAGCTACTGTCAAAAATGCTTAATGAACACTTAAAAGTCTTCAGCCAATAATTCCTAGTCCAATATCACAAAGAACTGACTTTTGGAGAGGAGAGAAAAAGAAAGAGTGGAAAAAACATGAAGCAAGCATTGCATTTTAGATGAAGCACATCTGTTTCCATAATCTCATAGCATCAAACTCACCAACAAAGAGTAATTATAAACTACTCTAAAATCTCAAATTTGAACATTCGTGTTGAAGTGAGAATCTACTTCTCTCAGCTCACCAAAATTCTGGGGAGCTCATGGGCACCGACAACCATTGTGCAGGAAACAGTATATAGAAACTTAGAAACCAAAGAAACCGAGCTCACTGGGTTTTTCCTTCTCAAATGTCTCAAAGTACTGATATATGATGGTAACTGCAAGCATAAGTGAGTACTGATGTACAAGTCGAAATGGGAATGGGCATGGGCATGCGTGTTATATGCACATATGGGTAAGGGGTAAAATGGGAATCAAAATGATAAAATATGGTTTTTATATTTAGTTTTTGTCAAAAAGTGGTCAGAGAGACTTATTTGCAACTTTTTTGAATTTTATGGATTAATATGCACATTTTTAAAAAGTAAGAACTAGTTCTGCACAAACCGTATATATCTAAGGTTTTTTTTGCACTTGACCCATAAATAGATTATGAAATTGCATACTCAGGCAGCACGGGCGTATGGTTTCGGTCTAAATAGCCTAGCCATTATAATGGTTTCGGTCCAAGTAGCCCAGCCCATATATATAATGTTCCGTTCCAAATAGCCCAGCCCATAAGTATAATGGTTTCGGTTTAAATAGCCCAGACCATATATATAATGGTTTCGGTCCAAATAGCCCAGCCCACATATATATAACCTATAGAGATATAGATATAGATATTTTTGTAGGGAGCACAAAACAGGCATCTTTTTTATCTCCTCTATATAATAGAGCGAGTTTTACAGGAAACTTGGGAAATAGAGTGCAAAACCAGTGAGACCTCGGAACAGAGAATTTTCTCCGCCAAGTACATTGGAACGGGTTACCTCTCTCGTATCTATTGTTAATCCTCAAAACCTCTCACATTTTTACCTTTTTACCTTTTACTTATTTACCTTTTACTGAGAATTTTCTTTCCCCAGATCGTGTGTATATATATATCTCTCCCCCATCACTTATTTCTCTCCTTCCAACGTTCGGAACTCCAAGATTGTTCCCGCCGTTGATATCTGTGAAGTCGCCGACGGCGAAATCTCTCTCACCGCCAATCGATAGCTGCGTCCTTAAATCCACAAAAGGTACCGTATATATATATATATTATGTATTGAATCCCTAGAAATTGGGGCAAATCGAATTCTTCACCGTGAAAACGCGAGTTTCAAGTTACAAGTATTAACCTTTTGTCAAATTACTTGTGAACTGAGTTCATTAAATTTTTCTTGGAAACAAAGCAGTTGCAAATTTGTAATTTTTTTATTTTTTGTATGTTTGGTCTATCTCCTTGAATACTAAGTACGGTTTCATCCGTTCATGTTATTTTTATCATTTGTTGTTAAAAGTATATATATTTATTTTAAGTTTATATTGCAGAGCCGTTGATACAACATGGGGTACGAGTCTGGTAGCACATCCCAGGATGGCCGGGATGAAGGTAATTTAAATTTTCAGTCTGCATCTGCAAATAAAGTACTTTTTTATTTTCCTGCTTGTTTACCGAACTGTATTAATTATCTTTGAAATAATAATACTTATGTGGATTGTATGGGATGGACATGTGGGTTTCTGTTGCCAACAGTTGAAGGCCTAAACCACTCTATTTTTGGTTTATTTTATGGAACTAGGTGAGGAGGATGGAAGCATTCGTTTTCTTGCTTTTTAAAATATAAACTGGGTATGACAATGTTTGGGTTATGTGGGTTTATAAGAAGGGATAGTTTAATTTTTCATTCGACAAGGGAAGGGAAGACTTCACATTAAAAAACTTCAATGTTACAAGGAACAAGTACGTGGAAAACATTATGTTTTGACAACTTTAGATCTGATGTGATAATTATACTCATATGCAAACATGCATATATGTATGTACATGATAATGATGGGCAGATAAACAAATATAGGTAATTGTTGATATTGAGATAAATGTTCCCTGGTTGAAGTTGGCTAGATGAATACCATTTTTCCTTTACTCTTAGATGAAAAAGAAATCTATATTGCAAATTCGCAACATCCGGGTTTGTCAATTATGTGTTGAGGAACTTATAGGAAGTGTAGGTTAGGTGTCCAAAATTTTGAATTTGTTTTTATTTTCAAATTGGGACATGTCAGAAATGTGTACGACTTGCCCAACAGCTGCCGAGAAGTGTAGTTGTCAACAAACACTACTCCTCCTCTTAGGTGGAGACGTGGGTGTTTGTGCTTTTAATATTTCCTGTACATACAAGTGTATGTATACACTCACCAAAAAATATTTTATTTATGCTCATACCATATGAATAATGCTGATAATTGGAAGTGGTACAACTCTTTTTTTTTTGGTTGCATATATTTTGTTACTGTGACATCCTATTGTTGAAGTTGTTTTGGTATTTGATTTGGCAGATGATGAAGACGAATATGAAGAGGCTGGTGGGGGTAACCGGCTTTTGGGATTTATGTTTGGGAATGTTGATGGTGCAGGCGATCTTGATGTTGATTACCTTGATGAGGTAGCCTGATTTTTTTCTTGCTTCTATGTATAATTCCTTGTGGTTTTATGTATATACAAATGAAATTGAGTTACAAATATGCATATAGCAATATTGTATATGTATATATTGTACAGAACAGATGTATTTGCAACGCAAGTTATTAACTGAAAGTAATACATTCAAATTCGGGCTCTTATATAGTTTCTATTCTCTCCCAGTGAACTGCCATATTGGGTTTTTGAATGTGTATAGGCATTAAAAAAGTACTCTGGCTTGATGTGTATACTTAAAATGTCCCTTGTTCATTATAATTTAATTGGAAGTCATAGCACAAAAGAGTATGTTAGAATTTTAGAGCCAGGGATTTATTTCAGGGGGAGAAATTGTGGAGTGTTTTTTAACAGTTTAATCTAGAATTTTTAAGACAACTAGTGACGGAGCTAGGAATTTATTTCAGGGGGGCATATTGAGCATGAGACTTTTTTTTTTTCCCCCAATATGAGAAGACAAGAAGAAAACAAGCTGAAAAATAGAAGTGCAATGATGGAGCAGTAATCAAGATTCAAATAATAGGTTACTAGGTCATTATTCACAAATACGTTGCAGTAAAGAAAAATGCAGAAACATAGAAGGCGGGCATTAAGTGTCCATTCAACAACGTTTCTGTTTTGCATTTTTGATTTCATATAAAGTAGAAGCAATACTATTTTGTTGTGCTATAATTTATTCCGAAACAGAAACATGTTTGGTAACTATATTTGTTGCGCAATGTTTTATAGAAAACAAATGTTTGGATGGTTTTTAAAAAAATGTTATTTACATTATATTGGTTTTTTTTAAAAGATTCTCGATACAGTTGTTAAATTACATTAGCAAAAAAAGTGAAAAATACCTTTTTTTTTTATTTTTTATTTTATAAATTCAATATAATTATTATTTAATTATTTTATATTTGGCTCTTTTGCTGAAACTGATGTGGTATTGTGAAAAACGTAAAAAAAAATACTTCCGTGACTTGCAAGAAGAAGAAATTTTAAGAAATAAAAAAAACAAAGAAGAATAAAACAAAAAAGAAAAGAAATATGAGAGAACTTTGAAGGGAAAAAAATTAGGTTTGATTGATGAAAGGTAATGCAAATATTTTTTAAGGGAATAAAATTTTAAGAAGAGGGAAAAAAAAATTACATGTGTAAAGAGGTAAAAAATTACATGTGTAAAGAGGTAAATTTTTTAAGGGAATTATGTAGAACTTTACAAAATTACATGCGTAAAGAGGTAAAAAAATTTCAGGGGCTATTGGCTAGCCTGCCCTCCTGAGCCCATGCTGGCTCCGTCCCAGAAGACAACCAGAAGGATTGAGTTTAGAGTTGAGACCTGATAGGATATGAAGCTTTTAATGTCCATCTACTTTTATAGTTTTATTTTTTGGTTAGTTTAAGTCTTCCAATAATCAATAAAGTATTCCCAAAAAAAAAAAAAAAAATCAATAAAGCTTGAGCATTTAATGATTCATTTATCCTAAAGAATTTAACATAAAGAAAACTGCTCATTTATCTAAATCTACCTCATTCCATTTTAATTTTGAATTAAGCTGTCTGAAAGTAAATTCGGAAATGCTTTCTAGCTCAGTTTTACTAATTCAAAGCATGTGGAGGGGCATACATCGGTTTGTGATCTGGTTAGATTTGCTTCGATTTGCTTCCTCACCGACTCTCTTTGTAGTTCTAAGAACTAAAGATCTAAAATCCTTTTATGAGAAGAAGTTACGGTTGGTGTGATTCCAATAGGCTTTTGTACGCAAATTTTTCCCCTGGGGAACTCTAGGGATTTATGACAAGAAGTCACTTGAGTTTCAGCCGACTGACGCAGGTTTTTCCCACGAAGAACTCTTGGGATCTCAGTTTTAGCCGGCTTAAACTCCCTGTTCACTCAGCCTTGTTGGACCAACTTTAATCGGCCATATCTCCCTCATTTTTGATCCAAATAGGGTCAAATTTGTGTTCAAATTGAACGTCTTGAAGTCAGCTTTCCAATGATACCAATCCCACTTGAAGATTCCAAGCAGAGAGTGGGTAAGAATTTGTGAATCACTCGCAAAGAAATCTCAAAAGATATTTATTATTGATGTAAACAGATGCAACAGAAGCACTGATTTGAGATATAAAGGCAACACCATTCTGACGAGAGGGAACTGGGTTCTTACTTGTAACAAAAGAAGATAATAAAGTTCTGAATCTGGAAAATCAGATCTGGAACAATAGTGAAAACAGCGGCAGATCGCTGGCCTCTCGTGCGAAGTGCAGCGGTAGAGGGATTGGACGGCGCCACAGGGTAACAATAGTGAAAACAGCGGCAGATCGCTGGCCTCTCGTGCGAAGTGCAGCGGTAGAGGGATTGGACGGCGCCACAGGGTCGACTCCCTAAACCCTAGCCTCCAATGCTTGAAACCCTAGCTGGGGTGAGAGCATCAATTCTGGCTCCAGAATATGTCTTCAAAAATTATCCTCCCCGAAGGCAGCCTCTCTCTTTCTTTTTATACTATTCTGGGTTGATGTAAGCATGGATTTTGTGTTGGGGTTGCCATGGACAACAAGGGGTGTTGATTCTATATTTGTTGTTGTTGATTGATTTTCTAAAATGGCACATTTCATTGCATGTAGAAAGACGTTGGATGCAACTCACATGGCAAATTTGTTCTTTCGGGAAGTTGTCAGACTACATGGCTTGCTTCACATCCGATCGGGACACAAAAGTTCTTAGCCATTTTTGGAAGACTTTGTGGAAGTTGCTAACAGCTAAATTTCAATACAGCAGTGCATATCACCCCAAACGGATGGCCAAATAGAGGTAGTAAACCGCAGCTTAGGCAATTTATTACGGTGCCTTGCTAAGGACAACATTTGACAATGGGAGTTGACCTTACCACAAGCTGAATTTGCTTATAACAGTACTATTAATAGATCAATTGGGAAGAGTCCGTTCCAAGTGGTGTATGGAAGGAATCCAAATGAGGTTGTCGATCTTGTGGATGTATCAAATCAGACATGAGTTAGTGATGATGCTACTGCTTATGCTGAAAATCTAAAAGAGGTACACGAAGAGGTCTGGTAGAAGTTGATAGAAATGAATCTACATTATAAAGAGGTTGCTGATCATCATCGGAGGTTCAAAGAGTTCCAAGTTGGAGATTGGGTTATGGTTTTTCTTCAAAAAGAAAGGTTTCCTGTTGGCACTTATCATAAATTGAAGAGTAAAAAGATTGGCCCGTGCAAAATTTTACTAAAGTTTGGTGAAAATGCCTATGAGGTGGAACTTCCCCAAGGCCTAGACATATCTCCCATTTTCAATGTGCCGATCTCTATAGTTTTCATGGTGACTTGGGGGCAGAAATTGGTGGAGATAAAAGTGAGCCATCAAGTCCTCCTATTGGAAGTAAAGACAAGGTTGAAAGAGTATTCCAAGTGCGTGAAATGAAGACGAGAGCTGGTACTTACTTCCGATTCCTTGTTAAGTGGGTAGGGAAACCTGAATATGAGAACTCGTGAATAAATGAGGAGGAATTTATGAAGCTTGATGACGAAATGTGCAAGGCTGCAAAAGTGGCAACTAGCACGGAGGCGAGTTCTTCCTAACGGGGGGAGAGTGATGGGAATTTATGTAAAATATGTATAGTATGTGTAGTGTTTGGGGTGATTTTTAACAAATAATGTAGTCTAGGGGTACTTTAGCAATTTCAGATTTTGGATGTTTTAGTTTGGGTTAATTTCAGCTGTCTTGGGATATTTGGGGTGATTTTATAATAGAAGTTAAGTGGATGGAGTATTAGAAAAGTTTCTTTTATTTTTGGGGTTTATGTGCAAATCCCTAAAGTAGCTTCTTTAGGATAGTATAAAAAGAAAGAGAGAGGCTGCCTTCGGGGAGGATGATTTTTGAAGACATATTCTGGAGCCAGAATTGATGCTCTCACCCCAGCTAGGGTTTCAAGCATTGGAGGCTAGGGTTTAAGGAGTCGACCCTGCGGCGCCGTCCAATCCCTCTACCGCTGCAGTTCGTGTGAGAGGCCAGCGATCTGCTGCTGTTTTCTCTATTGTTCCAGATCTGATTTTACTAAAGTACCCCTACACTACATTATTTGTTGAAAATCACCCCAAACACTACATATACTATACATATTTTAAATAAATTCGCATCATTTAACCATTCATTCACTGAGTAATTAGAGTTGCATAGTATTGTTTTTATTACAACTGATGACCCCTTGGATTACCCCATAATTGAGGTAATCAATAGTTGACTCTAGCATAATAAAATTAACAAAAAACTTAATGTAATTTGATAATAATTGATGCAAATTACCATAACAATGCAATTTCACCATAATTGATGTTATTTACCAAAATTATGCAATTTGACCAAACCCCCTAATTATGCAAGATTCCAAGTGGACCCCCCATCGTCAAGCATGTGGCAAATTAAGGCTTGAGCCTTAGAACCCTCCTTGCCACACCTTTTTTACACTTTAAAAGGCTGCTGCCACTGTTCTTTATCAATTCTCCCCGGCTTGGAAAAACTCGACCCCAGTGAGGTAAAGGCATGAACATGTCTTTAGCTAGGTCTTGGAACTCACCATGGCTAAGCCACGTACAATCAGAAAGTGGCCGTCCTTTCCATTTAACAAGGAATCTTTGATAACCACCACCTCTTGTTGAAACCAGTTGGTGATCAACAACATCTTCTATTTCCTCCTTTAAATGTGGGGCTGGGGGAAGGCGAGTGATAGGTTCATCCAGAAATGGATCAGCAAAATGGCCTGAATTTAAGGTGAGGTCTTCGATGTTAAAGACTTTACTGATACCCATCTCTGCATTGGAGCTAATTTTCTTCAGAACTTTGTATGGGCCAGCGCTCTTTGTGTGAAGTTTCTTGTAAGCACCTTTAGGATAGAAGTCTGGTCTTAGTCGCACCATAACGATGTCTTCTGCCTCAAATTCGGTATACTTCCTCCGCAAATCAGCTTG